ATATTATTATATAATACTATATTATATTTATATAATATCATATAATATTATATACATATAAAAAACAACTTTCTTAAAGAAAAGTAATATAGTTTTACACAATAACAGTTTTATCTCGAGTCGATGCGAGATTATGCTCGGTGGAAGATCGTTAAGGACTCGTTTCGTGAACTCTTATTGAACGCGATACTTCGCCGAGAAACAGAGTTGCATTATTTTTCTTGAGGACGCGAAGACGCGTCAACGCGCGACGATCTTTGTTGTCTTGATCTTTTGCACAGTCTATCAAAAAATACGGTGAGTATTCTTTTGGAGGGGTTGCTTTTTATTTTTAAGTCTGTATTTTTCTATTATAAAGTACGTTTCTCCGCGTTCTTCCATTCATTCTTGTACGATTTCTCTCCTTCTCTTCTTCCTCAAAGATCTTAAAGCAGCAGCGAGCGACGAATGCCACGCGAGCTCGCGCTAGATGTGCCCCGGCGCATTGTTAAAAACGTTCTCTTCGAGAAAATGCATCTGTTTCTGTCTCGCTTGCAGGCCTTCGAGGAACTCGAGGAACTGCTGGGAAAAAATAACATATGTATCGCCGTCAAAGAGAAACTGGTGAAGGATTCCGGCGTCGCCGAAGAAAGCGTCTACAACAACATAGTCTGGAAACTGCTGACAAAACCACGAGCAAAAGGTAAAATAAAAGCCGGTTCTTATCCCGTAAAACAAAGCTAAATAATAATCCACAAGCATTACCGTCTTTTTATTTGTTTAAAAGCACACCACACGTATGTAGCTACGAAAATTTTTTAAGAGTATTTTTTTTAGACTTTTTATTTTATCTCTCGAATATGGTCTCTTCTCCTCTTATTTCACTGCATTTTTCGTAAAATAAAAGTGTTTTTATTCTGAAAGAAAAACACGGTTCGCGCTCGAGAACTTTTAGATCTTACTACGTGCATGTCGGCTGCACATATGCAGCTTGTCTGTGTGTGTGTGTGTGTGTGTGTGTATACACACGCGTTTGTAATATACGATTCTTGATGCGTTTAGAGATTGTTCAATCGTAATCAATTATTCCGCGCGCGCTCTACGACGAGACTTTCATTAAAAAAGATTCAGGTTTAAAATATTATCGGATCTTCTCGCGCACACACATTGGCAATCAGTTCATACAAAACTTTTATTTTCTCTCTCTCTCTCTCTTTCTCTCTCTTTGTGTCTGTCTCTTTCTAACTCATACGACATACAAAACGATAATCAAGTCTCGGGAGAGACAATTGTGAAATCGTATCGTTCAACGGCAAAGACTCCGATTCCCTTCGATTCGCCTGAGTGACGAAACAGGCTCATTATCGAAATGGAAATGCCAAATGGAAACGCGACTCGTTCCAGACGGCACTTTGTCAAATGCAATCGGAAACTTGCTGAAAATCTCCAGAACTCGACCGAGAACTCCTCAATCTACTCCCGTCAGAATACCTTTTACGTGCGACACGAGCGAACGACTCTAAATCTCTCTCCCAGCTTTTTCTTTATATACAAGTCGAACGGATATCAAGCGCGGAGTTTGACGTATAGCTTTAATCGAATCGTTCGCGCGCATCCTGCCATCCATTAAGCGTACCACAAAGCACTTTGCACTTTGCGCGCACGCGGGAAATTAAACCATCTCCATATCATTCCCCGAGTTTGAACTCAGGAAATATGGCATTGGCACACGCGCATTTGCATTTTATTTATATATATATATATATATATATTTATACACCAATAGAAATAACGCTCGCTATTTCTCAATTAATATCAATATTCATGAGTTTCCGGTGAAAAATAAAACGCACGCCAAACGTATAAAGACATTGCGATAAATATCAATTTTTACATAATAAGCTTATCTATAAACAATCGTTTCACGTTTTAACAAATGTTGAAAAAAAAAAATAAAAAATAAAAACAATAAACGAGCATAACGTACGTCGTGTTTGTGGCGATAAAAATATCGACGCACGTACCGTTAATAAAATATCGAAAGCCTCTTCGATTTCGCTCGCGTTTCGTGAGGAAATTCGAATACGATACAATGCACACAGAACGGAACGCGCGCGCGCGGCGGAGGAACGAGAGCGAGCGTATATACGTTTCTATTTCCGTCGGTATGAAATGAGAAATGGACTAGAGCGAAAATGTCTGTAAGGCGCACGTATAAAAATTATGATGTTGTCAGATAACTCTTACTGGATATCGCAGTAAAATAACATAAGAAAGAAAAGCATATAGTTTAACGGCATAACGCTCTCTGCGCACTTCGAAATGGTAATCTTGTTTCAGAACAATGGAATTTGCTACCTTTCGTGGAGGAATAAACAGATATTTCATCTGCTTAAGCTACTCGGAATCTGGAAGTTTCTTTGCAATTTTTAGAATCTCCTTTGACATTTGATTAATATTCCGAACATTTTTAGGCAACGAACAGAAAAGTTTTAGAAAATAAATGTTTGAGTTTTGCAGAGAAAAACATATTAAAAATTTAGAAGGAAAAGAAAAAAAACACACAGAGAGAGAGAAAGAGAATAAAAATATCTCCAACAAAAAAGCTTGTATAAAATAGTGTTTGATAGAAAATACGTTTTGCACCAGTGCGGTATAGAAATTTTTCTGCGTCCAATTTTAGCTTATCAGCAATAAAAAACATACAGTTGCCAAGAAGTTTGCATTCACATTTTTTTTTAATGCAAACTCTTTTCTTCCATTGGCCGAAATTTATGCAAGAGAAGCAGATATTTAACTTCTCCAACATAAAAAATGATTGTGTATCTATCAACTCTGACGAGCGAATGATATTTCGCGATAAATATCTTATGCAGAATTTCCTTCGTGCACGTACACTTGTGTGTGCCCCTTTGTATCCAGTCGATCTCAAATCCGTGAGGGGCCGACCTAACGCTTTCACTCACGATTTTCCTTGCCCATTTTCTCTTGCCCAAAATCCTATATAATCTTGATTCCCGTAGGAATCAAGAAAGGTTCCGACCGCGATATATGAAGATTTCATTGACACTTTTTCAATAAAAAAAAACTGGAGGAAGGCTTTTTCTCGAGCAAACGAATTTCCGGAACATGTAGCGTGTTGTACAATCGGCAAAATAAATCGTTTAGGTGAAAACTTTGGCGCGATAATAATAATAAAGTTGAGAGAATGTGTTACACACATCCACCTGCGGCTACAGCCGCCAACGCGAAATTTTCACGAGGGCAAAATTCCAGCCTGCATCGCTTTCAGGTTGCATCATCTTCGGATCCGATCAAGAAGTGGCCGAATTGATGAGAGCGGTCAGACGGTGTAATGCGACCGGTACTTTTTCCTGGATCGGCAGCGATGGATGGAGCGCCAGGAGACTAGTGAGCGACGGTAACGAGCCGGAAGTCGAGGGCACTTTGTCAGTTCAGCCCCAGGCGAATCCTATCAAGGGCTTCAAGGAGTACTTCCTCAACTTGACCGTCGACAACAATCGGAGGAACCCGTGGTTCGTCGGTAAGCGTCCCGTCTATAAAGGCCGAACAATTGCAGCGAAACTCGCTTTGAGCGAATTCTGATTTTGCGAGACGATCACAAATGCGTGTCGGGCGTGTATATGCGTGTGCGTATGCGCGCGCAGTTACGATTGTTTATAATAAGAAACCAGACTTTGTTCTCTCAATATATGCCGACAAACTTTCTAGCACACAAAAGCGGGCTTACCGAAGTTTAACGTCTGTATTAGCGCGTTTATTGTCGTTTGACCGCCAAGCGAACGATCGATGTAGCGCTTCTAGCTAAGAGCTACTAACAGGCCCGCGTTTGTATTTTTTATTTATTTCTCATTCAACGAGTATTGCGCAATATTTTTATTCGCTCTCAGAATGAAACGCAAATTTATTCTCGTTACCGAGGTTTTAACAATGTAAGCGACCGTCTCGTTTCTTGCTGAGTTTGCACTTGACTCCGATATCGCAATCAGATCCCAGTGCAAGAGGAAACGAAAGAAAAACAGAGGTTCTTTATTGTAGAATTCTGGGAAGATCACTTTAAGTGCCGATATCCGGACTCGACCACGACTCCGTACAACAAGAAATATACAAATGCTTGCACCAAGAAGGAACGTCTCACGAAAAATGATACGAAAAATGACTTTTTTGAGGATCAATTGCAGTTCGTTTCCGACGCGGTGATGGCGTTCGCGTACGCTTTCCGGTAATTGGAATTAGATATCTGTCAGTTTTTTTTTTCTTTCAAACATCACAGATTTTATTCCTCTCTCGCCGACACACATTTGACAAAGGAATCCTGGAAACAAATTATTCTTTCTCAGAGACATGCACCGCGATCTCTGCTACGGAAAGCCGGGTTTGTGCGACGCGATGAAACCAACGAAGGGAACGAAGCTTCTGCAGTATCTGCGCAAGGTGGATTTTGAGGGTAAGCTGACAAGGCAATTCTGAAAGGGGTTGCGAGACGTGCGAATATAACCGATCTCTTGCGAGCGATTTTAGTCGTTTATGAGGGAATATTATCGAGAGTAGAAATGCGATGGTCATCGTTTCTGTTGACGTAGTTGTTTGCATAAGAAATTCACATAAAATAACATTTTACGATGAATCCACGTAACAGCACAAATGTATCAGGATGGGGTTTTTATTTTCGACTTTTGAATTTTTTTCGCGACACCTTCTAGAATGATTCCAATTGCTAAAAAAAAATTAATCTGTGAAAAAGTTCAGCCCGATCGATTTTATTTGATAATCTTTTATAACTTACTGATTATACCGAAAAACATGTTAAACAAAAATTGTAGACAAGAAATATATAAGGCCTTACGAGCCATTCGCAGGATGTTTGTGCGGAAACTGTGCGTGTATATATATATATACACATGTAACAAATTCTACTTATAAAAATTTTTACAAGTGACTGTTTTTTGAATTGAAATCTCAATTCTTAAATTCATACGGGATGCTGGATTTGCATCTTACATATGAAAGACCCCGGATATCCCCCTAACTAATTTTAAAATATTGCGAAAAAAACTCCTCGGCCAGGAGTCGAACCTGGAATCTCCGGCTTTCCGTGCCATCGCAAAAATTGTAGATCTGTGTCAGAAGTTTTTATCATCTATTACTTTTTTTCGTACGATGACTAACGATAAAATGGATTCATTGTGTGTTTAAATAATTTGTTTAATTTTTAATGGCTAAAGGGACTCCTTTTTCCCTTATCCGATCGGGCTGAACTCTTTCACAGATTATTTTTTTTAGCAATTGGAGCCATTCACGGAGGTGTCGTGAAAACAATTCAAAAAAACTTTTCATCAGGAGTAAATAAGAGCCAACTCTAATGAGGAGCCTGTATTTCTATCTTTTATTTATTATCTTTACCCGTGATTAGCTCATTAAGGTGATCGAACGACTGCGTTTAAGGTCTAAGCGGTGACAAGTTTAGATTCGACAAGAACGGCGACGGACCCGCGCGATACAACATCATACATTTCAAGCAAACCACGGAGGGCAAGTACGAGTGGATCCGTGTCGGTAAATATCTGGAGGGCGAGCTTCGACTGAACACATCCGGTAAGTCCTTCATGTTTTGATGTGTGGTGTTCCCGCGTCTCTTTATACGTGTTCGGCGTGTCTACTTACGAACGCAGCGTTAATCCCGTATAATATTCTGCGTCGTCGCGCAATCCCGCGCGTGTGTATTTGTTCCAGAAATCCAATTTAAGCTCGGACATCCGCAAACGCCAGAAAGTGTGTGCTCCTTACCCTGCGAGCTCGGCCAGGCGAAGAAGTACGTCGAGGGCGAAAGATGCTGCTGGCACTGCTTTAATTGCACTCAATATCAGGTACAGTGAGCGACGGGTGTATCGTCGGGTAATTAACTGCCGCTTCCTCTTTCTCTCTCTCTCTCTCTCTCTCTCTCTCTCTCTCTCTCTCTCTCTCTCTCTCTCTCT